GCACCGGCAATAGGGGCACCGGGGGAACCGGCACCGGGAGCAGCGGGGGCACCGGCACCGGCACTGGGGAGCATCGGCATTGGGGGCACGGGGGACACCGGAGGCACCGGCACCGGGGGGCATCGGCACCGGGGCACCGGCACCATCGGGAGCACCGGCACTGGGGGAACCGGCACCGGGGCACCGGGAGCACCGGGAGCACCGGCACCGGGGCACCGGAGGAACCGGGAGCACCGGCACCGGGGACTCCGGGAACACCGGCACTGGGGGAACCGGCAGCGGGGGCACAGGCACCGGAGCAACGGGGGGCACCGGCAGTGGAGCACCCGGGACACCGGTGAAACCCGCACCGGGGGCACCGGAGAGCACCGGCACCGGAGAGCACCGGGGGAACCGGGGAGCACCGGCACAGGGGGGCATCGGCACCGGGAGCACCGGCACCGGGGCACCGGAGAAACCGGGAGCACCGGGAGCACCGGGAGCACCGGCACCGGGGAAACCGGCAGCGCGGGCACAGGCACCGGGGCAACGGGGAGCACCGGCAATGGAGGCACCCGGAGCACCGGGGAAACCCGCACCGGGGGCACCGGCACCTGGAGCACCGGGAGCACCGGGAGCACCGGCACCGGGAGCACCGGGGACATCGGGAGCACCGGCACCGGCATCGGGGGCACCCCCGGGACCCCCGCCCGCCCCAGGACCCCACGCATCCCCAACCCCACGGAAGAGAGCTCGGGGTGCAGCCGCGGATCCCCCCAGAGCCGGGACTGGGAGGGGAGAGGGGCGAAAATGGGATTGGAAAGGGTTGGGGGGGAGTCTGGGATCACCGGGGAGTTTTGGGGAATGGGAGCACTGGGAGATCTTAGCGATTAGGAATACTGGGGGCACTGAGGGGTTTTCAGGCACTGGGAACACTGGGAGAACTGGGAATTCTCGGGGAATGGGCAGACTGGGAGCACTGGGACACGCTGTCTCCGCTGGTCCAAGAAGGTGCCCAAGCCAGGCTTTTTGGGGCTGGAAAAGGGACATTTTGGGGTTAGAAAGGGGCATTTTAGGGGCTAGAAAGAGGCATTTTGGGACAGGAAAGGGGCATTTTGTGGCTAGAAAGGGGCCTTTTGGAGCTAAAGAGAGGCATTTTGGGTCTAGAAAGAGGCATTTTGGGGCTGGAAAGGGGCATTTTGGGGCTAGAGAAGGGTGTTTTGTGGCTAGAAAGGGGTATTTTGGGGCTGGAAAGAGGCATTTTGGGGCTACAAAGGGGCATTTTAGGGCTAGAATGGTGCATTTTGGAGATAAAAAGGGACATTTTGGGGCCAGAAAGGGGTATTGAGCATCCCCAGAACTCAGACGAGGGAAGCAAAACCGCCCCAGCGGTTCCAGCAAAGAGCAAAGCGGCTTTGGGAGCGCTGGGAAAAGGCTCCAGGGCAGGCAGATGCTGTCGATGAGGAGGTGCCGCTCCCAGCAGGTCCCCGRTGTCCCCGAACCGGCACCCGTGGGGAGCAGATGGCGGGGGCAGATGGGGAGGAAGAGCCACTTTCCTGGGAATTACAAAAAACCGCACAAAATTATCAAATCCACGGCCCCACCGCTGCGGTGGATGCTCCGGGATGGGGTTAATTCACCCCAAAATCTGCTGGGTTTGAAAAACCAGGGCTGCTCCAGGATGGGGTTAATTCACCCCAAATTTGCTGGGTGATAAAAACGGGGCTTGGGTGTTAAAAACTGGGGCTGCTCCGGGATGGGGTTAATTCACCCCAAAATCTGCTGGGTTATAAAAACGGGGCTGCTCCGGGATGGGGTTAATTCACCCCAAAATCTGCTGGGTGTTAAAAACCACGCTCAGCTCTGGCATCTTCCCATCCGAGCAAAGCATTCCCAAGGAAAATTCCAAAGAATTCCAAGGAATTCCAAGGAAAACATTCCCATTTCAACCTTCCACCTGAACCAAAGCAGGGATTGTTCTCCAATCCAGCCCAGCCCGGGATGGGGTTAATTCACCCCAAAATCTGCTGGGTGATAAAACCAGGGCTGCTCCGAGATGGGGTTAATTCACCCCAAAATCTGCTGCGTGTTTAAAACCGGGGCTGCTCCGGGATGGGGTTAATTCGCTGAACAGAGGCTGAAACGGGACCGGTCCGAGCCTTGAGGATTTTAAAACATCGCAAAAACGAACAATTCCTATAAATAAATTGCAAAAAAAATCCAACGAAACCTACAAATAAACCTGGGCTGCAGGCAGGGGTCTCCTGCACTGATTTCAAACCCARTGGAGGATTTTGGGGTGGAAATACCAAAATTGGCGAGGGGAGCTGCAGCAGCAACAGCGTTTCCTCCTCTCCGGTTTAAGGAAGAGGTTTGGAAAGGGGAGTGGGATGGGATTTGAGCAGAAAGGTGAGGGAAAAGGAGATTTTTGKGCTTTTGGGGTGACACCTGGAGGGTTGAGCGGGCACGGGGTTGGGGACAGCGGGGACCCGAGGTGGGGGTGCCCCCGTGGCTCCGATAATCTCCGTATCTATTTTAATCCCCGCGGGCACGAGTGGCAGAGGGCACCACTGACGCAGGCTGATTTGAAAGCATCCCATTTCCGACTCCAGCGCGACCCTAAACCCACCTAATCCCCGCGCTGGAAGGGATTGAGGGAGGCAGAGGGGGGGCACGGGCAGGGACATCCAGCCCCGAGCGATTTATGGGGTTCCTGGAATCRGGGGCAAACACCCCCCCGTTTTATCCCGCCTGGATCCCACTCTTTTCACCCCAAAATGTTTTGTTTTTATGGCGGGACCCCCTTCCAGCGCCCCTGGCACCCCGAGAAGCGGGACTGTGTCCCACAGGGCTGGCCCAGGGTGGCTCCCGCTGGCCCCAAACCCTCCGGGCTACCAGGACGATGCTGAAATAGCCCCGATCGCCCCGTGGCACCTTCCCAAAGCTGTGGGGACACGCGTGGGGCGCTGCCGGTGCCAGGCTGGGAGATCCCCCTCGTTTTCCTCCCTCTCCTCCTCCTCCTCCTCC